ACTTCACATTAAAAGACCACTTCGGCTCCAAATCGCTTGACTGAGCAACCGTACCTGATGCCCAGGAGACCATACACGGAGGCGGCGCACCTTATCGATCAGAGGACTGACACATGACAACCGCCATCCAACGGCCACCTGCCACCGCCATCCCAGATGGACAGAGGTGGCCCTGGCAACTGGCAGTTGACAGAAGGAAGTGACCCGATCTGGCAGAGGCAATGATGCCCGAACTGGCAGAGGTATGGAAGTGAGCACGCAGGGTGATTATAAAAGGCCCCCATCTCACAAAGAAAGGGGTATGTGATTCTTGCGTTTTCTGGTCTTAGAATTCCTCATTTCCCTTGCCTTCTGAAGAACACTAACTTGAGCTTTGGAGTGTTCCAACCGGGTTCCTCCCCAGAAGCCTCAATTTTCTCCCTTGTTTCAGATACCTTCGATCTCGTCAGAAACGAGGTAACTGGCATCTAGGACAGACTGGATCGCGCATCATCACTTATAAAATGAGGTATTTCACATTTTGAATGTTTATAAATCTGAAATTCATAAATCTACAAGTATTTTTCCGTTTCTACAATGGGCCTGTCCTTTCTTTTCCGTTTATTATATTGTTTGTGACATTATGGGTCGAATTATTTGAACTGAATGGAAAAGTGGTTACGTTTTGATGATATGTGACATTTATGGTTTAACTAAAGCATGGTGTAAAGGTACATTTGTTGTTATCTTTGACAAACGATTAGGGGTTCAAATCTTCTTTTTTGTGCGTGTTTTTTATTTTTTTCTAGATCAAACATTATAGACCAAAACTCTCAGTCAACTTCATTGCTAGTAGTATAGAAATAAATATTTCATTGAAAATTTTGGAGGATCATGTACGTAGCTGTAGAAAACTAGGATGGATGGACTGGAAATCTGGAAACACAAGGTAAAAAACAATAATGAGAAATTAAATATTGTTTTACAACAAGCCATAAATGGAATAAAATTAAATGCGTAGTCCAAGTGATTTAATGGACATTGATTAGATCAGGGGAATAGGACAGTGTTGGCCAACCAAGCTGGAGTCTACTGATGTGCTGGATTGCTTAAACCACTTCAAAAGAGGCCTATGTCTATGTGGCAAACATGTGCAATTGTACCCTTTCATTGATTGCTCTTACCTTACAGTTAAATCAATCTGACAGGCTAACACCCCTCTTTCTTTTCTTTTCTTTTTTTTTTTTTTTTACTTATTACACCTAGATGTCTTATAAATTGACTCCAAATGGATAATGATGAGGGTAAATTCGCGCTGAATTCCTGTTGGCTATGACAGTTTGATGGTCATGGATGAGATCGACAGAAAGAGTTTCTAAGACAAAACACGTCAGAGAGCCCGGCAACGGACTCCAACGGTCAAACTACCATTAAGCTGACGGATGGAAGAAAGCTAATGAGGAGGAAATCAGATCTAGTATAGAGCGATTATGCCAAAAAAGCAAGTTTACCTTCTAAGGGTGAGAGGGATCATTTTTTATCTTTATATAGGGTTCGAGGCTCAGTTGTGGCATGCCCGACATGTTTGAAGATGATATGACTTATTCGTCTGTTGCTTACGAAGCATACCCACACGGCGTCGTGGTGTCTCTTATTTCATTTCCTAGCCCTGCAAAGTGGAGGGAACCGGGTTTATTATTGCTAGGTGGGTGTCATGTCTGTACATGTTTCGGGGGGTATTAAGTGGTGCCAACAGATATGGAGGGACGTGCCACATAGGCTGAAATTATGATGAGGTTGGTGTTGGGACAATCAATGGACGTCTCAGGCCACAGGTTGCCCATGTCGGAGAGGTAGGTCGGTGTTCAAGATAGCCAATGGAGGTGAATTCTGTTCCTTAAGCCGATCTGCCGGTTTGCTTTCAAAGTGAGGACGGAGTTAGTGTGGGCGGCATAAGCTGATCTGCCGAGGAATATTCAAGCTTGGTTATGCCACATGTGATGTCTAGGTGTTATATGACGACTTTGATGGCCAAGTGGCATATTGTGATTGGAGGGTTAATTCACCTCTCATCATATTAGTATTTCTGTTGATTATGATTAACGCTCTCCAAATATATGTTTGGCATCAATGTTGCAGTTGCAGCATCCTTTTCTCGATTGATGTATGGGTTGGAAGGCACTGTTTTCTCCCTTTTCTTTGTTTGGAATTTTTGTTGTTAGGTAGAATGTTTTTTCGAGCAACAACAGCTTTTTCTATTTGGTACCAATATTTCAAGAAACATTTTCTGTATTTGTACCCATTATCCAGTGCCACATCATTGTCCTGCTGGCAACAATGAGCTGCAGCTACAAGAAACGTCAAATTTGACGTTGCTCCAAACCATGCCTTCTCGATTCCAAGGCATGGCTTGGAACACCATTTTCTATACAAAAATAATTTCCAAACAGATAACTATTTCCTGAAGAACCGTTTTTTCCTACATGACGCTGATGTGACACTGTTGCTCTTAGAAACACGGCAACAATGCCAAACAGCCGCAAGTTAAATTCTTTTTGTGCATACTAGTTGAAGCTTGAAAGTTGAAATCATCATCTTGTTATTGCCCGCCAACTGTTTGTTGAACTTCTTAGAGGGGAAACAATTCTCAATTTGTTTGATCGGTCTGGCTCAACTTACAGCACTTTGTTTGGGCACTTGGAATCTCTGCGTGTTTCATTTATTTTTTGATTTGTACAATCACTTGGGAGTTGGGATACAGAAGAACATCCCTGCAAAACTCACATGCAGTGTTTTACTGTTATTAGAAGCATGACGAGGCAGTGATAATGCTACAATAAATAATCACAAACCGCTAAATGACTAACCTTTTCTTCTTCTGCGGCTTCCATGGTGTGAATATCCAGTCAGGCAGCCACTCGTTTTCGCCATTAGCTGGGCTATTTATGATGTTACGGAAAGAGCAGTGGGGAATGGGGATTATTACTTATTAGTGAGTCCATTAGGCCACGACGAAAAATTTTCTAAAGCAGGTGAGATTCGATAGAGTTGGCATATATTCAAATTTAACCAGAGCCCCCTTACAGATAGAGCTTTTAACCAGTGGGCTGGTGTCAGATTCGAGTTAATGCCGATACAGGTAACAAGTTTGGGGAGTTAACATCCTCTGCCACCACCACCAATGAATTAAAGCCGCGTCACTAGGGGTGTCAATTGGGGAGTTCACATCGTCTCCATCCAAATTGATTTTGGACTGAATGGGTCCAATCCAAAACCGGTCCATTGGCACCCTTGCGTGTCACTGGGGGTAAGTGTAACGGAGCGGTGGTTTTTCACTGGACTGATTCCGCAACCCATTTTTTGCACACACTTTCCGCAGGTATTGTTTACCATTCAAGAACAGGTTTAAGAAGAAAACCTTAAACCGATATTATTTATTATTTATTGTTTACTAGTTTCTACCATAGACTGAGAGTCACTTATTCCTTCTCGACCATCTTTTCATTTTTCTCAAACAAGTGTATCATCCCCTTGAAGCCAATATGATCCCCTCCTTGATCGCATTGAACCGGTTAGTGGAGGAAATAGGTCCATTCAGGCAGCGTATTTTGGTCGAGGCAATGCTACCCAGAGTACAGCAGATCAACTCACCAATGGTGATCTCAGTTTGATTAGGACCAGTATTCCAGAATATAATACCGATCGATGTATTAGAAAAGAAAATATAGAAGCATCTGTTGCCGATGAGCATGTTGTACTTGGATTTACGGGAGACAATAGAGTAGACTACAGAATGAAAAAAAATGTAAATGCATTAACTTTAATTGGGTCTTTTAGGAGTTCTACTGCAATATTTTGCTTAAGTAATGGTTTGTTTTGTCATTTTTGGTCTAATTAAAAAAAACATGAATTAATTCTTATTTGATGTTTTAATATGTTTAGTGATACAGGGATGAATACTCAACAGTCTATATCTAAATATACATCTTAATGGGTTGTAGAATCAGTTCGGTGGATTTGATCGGAGGGGGGGTAATGTGTTAATTGGATCTGGAATTCTAGAGTACTGGGTAGCTCAAAGATATGGATAGTCATAAGATGGGGATCGATCGTCTTGATATCAAGTCAGTCAATTTCTGATGAACCTTGGTGAATGTGAAGCCTTCCTCAACAACTACTGTACTCCATTCTTTAATATTTGAGATGGTAACTCTGGTATACAAGTACTAGGCTACTAGCTAGTGGGATAACCGTAAACCATTCATGGAATTGGAGGCTTACAAGTTACAACCTTACACTTCACAGATCATATAAACCTTTCGGACTTGACTAAAACATACTAAACTGGAATATCTGGCCCAAAGGTTTCTTTCACCGTGTCCACTTTAATTTTGCAACGACAATGTTGTTCTTCCAGTTCCATCTCATCTCATGGATGCATCTTGGGTCCCAGTGTGTCCCACTGCCATTGATGGAAATTCGTTTTTTCTTACCAAAGAGGAGTAGAGGAGTAGAGGACCACCGAGAAATTAATCAAAAGTGTCCTGTACGTACGCCGCTGTTATTTTATATCCAAGGTCCTCGTTCACGTTCCTTCTGCAGATGGACGATGGATACCCATTATTGTCCTGGTAATGGGTATCCATTGCATCTCTGAAACTTTTTTACAGAGAAATTAAACAAACAAATTTACCTTTGTTTTAGTTGTATGAAATATTCATGCAGTTAACCCTTGAGCGCGTCTCTTCACATGTGCTACGAACTCATGAGTTTTGCCTGATTGCCTATATAAACTGAAGTGGGCTAAACAAAAAAAAAAATACAGACTCTCGCTGCCATTAGCTAGCCAGCATTCTCTCATGGAGTTCTTCGTATCGTGTGTGCTTTGTATCATCGGTTTCTTTACTTTGTCCCTGCTCTGGAGGTTGGTTACCCAATGGAGAGATGGGGAGTGCTATATAATGCACTATGAGTGCTTCAAGCCAAATGATGATAGGAAGCTGGACACCAAGTTATGCGGCGACATCATCCTACGCAACGAGAGTCTTGGGTTGGACGATTACAAGTTTCTGTTGAAGGTAATTGTCAACTCCGGCATCGGTGAAGAGACATACGGGCCCAGAAATATCATACAAGGCCGAGAGGAATGCCCAACCCTTGGGGATGGGATCCTGGAGATGGAGGAGTTCTTCTTCGACACCCTCGATAAGCTGTTTTGCAAGACGGGACTCTCTCCGTCGCAGATCGACGTGCTTGTCGTCAACGTATCCATGCTTGCTCTGCAACCTTCTCTTACGACAAGGGTTGTCAACCATTTCAAGATGAGGGAGGACGTCAAGGTGTATAACATATCGGGAATGGGATGCAGTGCCAGCCTCATTTCCATCAATCTCGTCCAAAACATCTTCAAATCCTACAACAAGGCATTTGCTCTGGTCGTGACATCGGAAGCTATCGGACCCCACTGGTACACGGGTAACGATAGATCCATGATTTTGTCCAATTGTTTATTCCGATCGGGCGGGTGTTGTATACTTCTGACCAACAATCCCAGTCTAAGACATAGAGCCATGTTTCGATTGAAGTGCCTTGTAAGGACGCATCTCGGCGCCAGCGACGACGCCTACGAATGCGCGATGCAGCGGGAAGATGCCAAGGGAAGAGCAGGGTTTTACCTGGGCAAGAATCTCCCCAAAGCAGCCAGTCGAGCCATGGTGGAAAACCTCAGAGTAATATCAACCAAGATATTGCCCCTAAGAGAACTGCTACGATACCTACTCGTATCACGCCTCCTTCCTCGACCACCCAAGAAGGGTGGAGTACTCAAAGCATCATCATCAAGCTTAAACTTCAAGACCGGAGTCCAGCATTTCTGTCTCCACACCGGTGGAAAGGCGGTTATCGACGGGGTGGGGAAGAGTCTGGGGCTGACAGAGCACGATCTAGAGCCAGCAAGGATGACTCTGCATCGGTTCGGAAACACGTCAGCCAGCAGTCTCTGGTATGTTCTGGCATACATGGAGGCGAAGAGGAGGCTGAAGAAAGGAGACAGAGTGCTGATGATGAGCTTTGGGGGAGGATTCAAGTGCAACAGTTGCTTGTGGGAAGTGGTTAGAGATTTGGAGGGTGACAATGTGTGGAAGGACTGCATCGCCACTTACCCTCTAAATTCTCTGGTCAACCCATTTATGGAGAAATTTGGTGAGATCAACCACTACACAGAGGAGACCTTTACAATTGAAGCTTTCCGCTCTTCTCTTCAACCAATTTAATATATATCAATTCTCTTCCATCTCTTTTTCCCCTTATACTTATTTGTGAGGTAGACCTACCTCGACATATTGTCCAAGTATGGTGTTGTTTGGTTAATAAATTTGTATTAGTATTATTAATTCGTTCAAATGAATTAATTCCCTCCTTCCGATGGCTTTCTTTCTTTGCCGGTGAAGCCTTCGCCACATTCATTGTTGAAGTTCCAATTTTCTTGTTCTTACAGTAGATGGTTACTCTTCTGTTTCCATATGTTTCCCAATAGGTAAGAATTAAACCTTCTCAGGAGTCTCATTTAGTATTTGGCCTGGTTATCTATCGTTCATCATTCTCCTAGTTACGTTGTTGATCTCAAGTTTAATTTTATGGTTCAGTTGTGCTCCAGATCCATTAATTTGACAATGCAGGAAGATGTGGTCCACGTCCTCTAAATCCTAGTCACAGTCAGTTTATCATCATTTGGTTAAAGGGGTCTCCCCCATTCCCCATTACCGCATGGCACCCTGGGAAACACTTATCCGGATAAATGCATTTATTCATTTCCTTTATTTTTCATGTAAATAAGTCAATGACCATTTTATCCATAAAATTTTATTATTAAAAGGGGCATTTTTGTCTCATTCAAGTGTTGGCAGTTTCCCCTTAAGTGGAAAAATTATTTATCTACATAGGATATGAATAGGAAAATAAACTTCCTTGATCCCCACATAAATTAAAAAAAAAAACATAGAATTCTTAATTAATGGGAACACCCTTTAATAAATAAATTAACATCGCTTTCTATACCTAAATATTTTTTTTCTCGTTTTCAAATGCTTATATCATGTACAAAAACACAACATTCGTACAAGACAGTTATCTCGACACACCAAACAACCGCTGTATGATTTGAGATGATGAAACCAATAACAAATTTGATTAATATACCTTTCCCAGATGCGCGCCACAATATTTATCATGAGGTCCAGAAGGTTAGTCCTGAGTTCAGTCTCCCTAGATGTGGAGTGAGATTAGTTGCTTCTCCTACAACCCAAGATTCTCACGTACTAGTCTTGTGACCCCATTGATCAGCGAGTGGAGTTGCAATTGAAGATGACAACTCTAGACTTTCTTGGAGTGACTTTGCCTGGGGCCGGTTTAGACAATATGAGAGATTGGTTACAAACTAGAGGGTTAATAAACCAGGCAGAGCGTCCATGTTTCCAAGATGGTTCAGAATGGTGCTTTGATAGTTTAGATTGTCTTCTTGGCTGCCGAAGTTGTGCTTAGATGGTGTTTGGTATCAATATAGCTTTTGGAAGAAACGGTGTCAGCTCAGCATTAGAGATGCATTTAGCAGAAAAATGCCTTAAAAGTTATTTGGTTGAGCCATTTATCTAAAAAACGGCTCTCTCAAAAAATCGTATGAACCATTTATTAAAAGAATACCAATTTTGACGTTTTTCATTTTCAAGATTAATTTTTCACTGTTTAGCTTATATAGCACTTATTGACGCTGAAATGTAAAAAAATCGTACAAAACATTTAAAACAGATATTGTCTCGTTTTTCAAGACAAAATCATACAAAACGTTTATCTTATAAATGCCATCTATACCAAACAACGTCTTAGTGAGTGTTTTGTTGTGAACTTGTGGTTAAGACTATCTTGTCTGTTTTTTTGTATTTTGACTTTGAGTTCATTCTGTTGAGCTTTCTTTAAATTTTCTTTGTTCTCTCTATTAATATAATTTTATACTTTACCTTTTTCAAAAAAAGTAATGATAATAATAATTTTGGTGGTGCCTTCAATCGTGTTCTAGAAACAAGGTAAGAATTGCAGCGGCGGGGAAATGAAAACGATTCAAGTGAAACAACTGTAGTGAGACACCTAAACCTTTTGCGTAGCGAAGGGTTTTCCAGTTTTTTTTTTTTTTAACACAGAAGAAAGACGTCCATTTCATAAAGGCCTCCACGTGGCATTTATTGTCCTACTACATTTTTTTATCCATATGGCACCCACAATTACTTTCTATGGGCATTTAATGCATCACATCGACGTGGGTTCATGTCATGGTTCTAAATTTTGGTCCTTTTGGATCCATGCATGGTCAATAATTTTTTTTTCTTTTATAAAAGTTTTGTCACGTTAAAATTTTGAAAAATTTCACCGACATGCAGCTGAAATCAGGAACAAATCGTACATGTTGGCCCAGCCACGAAGATCCAACCTGTATGAACAGGCAAAATTGAATCTTTAGCTGCTGATGATAGTTGAAGATTCAATTAATGAAATGCTGATCTGGCAAACCCAAAATCAGTCCTTTGGTTTATATACTCGTGCGAGTAGATTCCATATGCGAGCACCCATTTCCAATAATTAGTTACAGTAATTAATTACTAATTAATTATTAATTATTAATAATAATTACTAACTAACAACAATAATTAATTACAGTAATTAGTTACTAATTAATAACAATAATTATTAATTAATTACAATAATTAATAGTGTAATTGTATAAATACTGTAATAATAATTACTAATTATGTTACTAATTAATAGTGTAATTATATTACACTAATTAATAGTGTAATTATTATAGTAATAATATAATTACTGTAATAATAATTACTAATTATTGCTTTACAGTAATGATGATGCACGATCCGGTCAGTCCTAGCTGCTGGTAACCTTGCCTCTGACGGAGCAAGAGATGCCTGAAACAGGGAGGAAACAAGAGATTCTCGGGGGAGGAACTTGGTGGGAATGCTCCGATGCTCAAGTTAGTACTCTTGAGAAGGCAATGAGGATGAGAGATTCTGAGACCAGAAGGCGCAAAGTATCACTTACCTTTACTCTGGGGAAAGAGGGCCTTTTATAACCACCCTGGTGCACTCACTCCCAAGCCTCTGCCAGATCAAGTGTAACCGCCTCTGTGGGGGGCAGGCATAACCGCCATTGTCTTCTCTGTCAGGGCCGTCTCTGCAATAACTGAGATGGCGGTAGCAGGTGGTCGTTGGAGTGTGGTTGTCATTTGTCAAATCTTTGATCAATCAGGCGCACCGCCTCAGAGTACGAACTTCTTTGTCAGGTATGGTTATTCAATCCTGCGACCTGGAGCCGAAGTGTCGGGGTGGTGCACGAGATGAAGTCTTGAGTTCGGGTAGGAGTGTGGCCCGGACTAACCCGAGGTGCCGGGGTGTGGCCCGGACTGACCTGAGGTGGGTCAGTCCGGGCTTCACCCTTCGCAGGGTTCCTTGTAAGGCTCAGGATTTCTAGGGAAAGCTTGGGTTCTACCTCCTAGGAAGCGTGGGTTCCTTTTGGAGAGCTCGGGCCTCTTCTTGGGATATGGCTATGTCACTGTGCTGAGCTGACGCTCCTGCCAAATCATACCCGGTTGCTTCCACGTGTCGCACAGGCAAAGGGTCAGACCAAATCTACCTCCATCAAGTAATAATATAATTACTAAGTTACTTTCCAAGTTTTACACCAATTATTGCTTTATAGTTTGCCTGGTTGAGACTTACCTCACAAAGTCAAAACCCGCCATGGGAAAGCCCTCTCTAACGGGCATTGAGCCTAAGTTGATTCTAACAAAATGTTCATGGCCTAAAAAGAGATGTAATTAATTATAGTCTAACAATCAATTTTGACATACCCCGTTATTAATCCTATGTGTTTTGATTATAACAAATTTATTGAGAGTATTGATGTTGTGAAAAGACAAGTGTGCAATTTTCTCAGTTGAATTGAAAAGAATTGATAAAAGGCTCATTGATGATCTAAGACACACAGGAGTAACTATATCAAATGATTGATTGAACTCTCTCCAAATAAAAAACCAACACTACTTTGGACAAGAAATGGGAGAAATAATAAGAAAGTTTTCAACTTATTTTATTTATTTTAGGCCTTGATGTAGTCATATCAAGATGCACAACAATGGGTTTAACTAAGACCTACCTCAGTATTACCAAAACCGGTGATTAGGTTTTTTCTAGATTTTAATGTTAGCATAATTGTGAAAATTCTAAATATGGAGACCTAAGAATTTAACTCCAAGATCTTAGAAGTCATCCACTCAAAGTTTCTAAGGTCGGGCATTGTCAGTAGTTGACTGCCCATAAGATACTAATCAACTATTTGTAATAGCTAAGCCTAATGCCACACTAGCTATGGCCTATATAGTCAACTATAAAAAAAAAATTTCACTATGTCAAATAGTAGATAGCAAGTTGCATCAAGTTGTTGACTCTAAGATAGAAAAAATTCTCTCCTACGAATAGTAGTTGCCTATTTGAACCTAGTAATTGATTATTTTACTTTTGACAGGGTTGAAACAGTCAACTACTTTTAAAGGTTTAATGGCTTTTTCCTCTTCTTGTAAGCCTTCAGCGATATCGGCAACAAGGTCTAAACATTTCTAAGAATGATTTAATCTTTTTTCAATGGCTCTATAATGGTCACAAGTTCTCTAAGCTTGATTCATGTTATATATGTATGAGTTTGAACTGAAAAACTGAAGATAGTGTATTATGATAAAAAACTTCTAAATGAAAAATAGAGCAAAAGTAAGATAGTAACTTAATTTGTATGAAAAGATTCTAAGCTAAAAGAGTTTAATCATTGGAGAAAAAGCTTAAAAAAGGTATTTGTGCAGTATAGATCCTCTCCAAGAATCATTTGTTTCTTCAAGTGTTTACCTCATATTTGTTTGTGGTCATTCTTGTATTTGAATAATTTGTTATGTATTTGCAATATCAACCTATGTCTAAAAATGAAGAGGGTCTTTATCGCAAAAATAAGTTCAAGGGCATAAGTGTCGCAACTCATGAGTGATTGTAATTTACCCTATAATCTTCATTATATATAATAATGATACTTGCATTTGCTTCATGTTAAAGCCATGAAAGGTAAAATCGAAATATTAATTTTAATAGTATTATATAATATCGATGCTTGCAAATGGTAATTGTTCAAATGTTTTAACCTTTAAATCCAATTGGTGAATTAAGACATTCAAAGAAATGTAGTAAAAACAACTCTTCTCTAAGCCTTGTAAGCGGTATTTCTAAACCTTGTATTTGCACTACTCTTTCTAATATAATCATAGCATTTTCATTTTTCATCCTTTGTTTTCTAATGTATACGTGCATGGTACCTGCCCTTATACTAATTGATATAATTACATTGCAGAAGAAAAAAAAAAAAACAGTGAAAAGGCAATGATGATCAAAAATCAAGAATTAGGGAAATGCAAAGCAAGAATAATAATATATAAGAAAATGTGGGAGAGAGATCCAACCTCCCCTACCAACACTGCTGCTACAAGATTTTTTGTTTTTGGTAATTCTGCTAGAGCTAGTTATATTTGGTTATTATTTTAGGAGACCAATTGCATAATTTCTATGCGCATAACAGGAGCCAACAAGCTATCCTTCTCGCTAGTTAATAGGCAGTCATAACTGTCTCTAAAAATTGAAAAAATGCCTCTAAAAAATATAGGAGGAAATCAAGTGAGTGCCTCTAAAAGCCCTATTGCTAAATGTTTTAGAGGTGCTTGATTGAGCATCAAAAGCGCCTCTAAATTACTTTTTAGAGGCACATATGATTGCCTCTATTTCACTAGCGCTAAAAGTCCTGTATAGAGGAATTTACAAGTGCCTCTGAAAGTTTGATTTAGAGGCGCATTTGAATGCATCTAAATGATTTTGCGGCAATTTTATGTGCCTCTAAAAGAAATCTAAGGAAAAATCTCAATTAGAGGCACTTTTGGCTGACTCTAGAGATATATGCTTTAAAATTTAGAGGCACTTTTGGCCGCGTCTAAAGGTTCCAATTAAAAAAAAAAAGCAATATATTGTGAATATCATTACATAAAAATTTTAATTGATACACCTATATGAAAATATATTCAATCAAAACATAAAACCTGTATGAAAGTATATATAAAATTATACCAATTGATACACCTATTTGAAGAATTGAATTGAATAGATTATACTAATAATTCTTGAAAACAGGTTTTAGAATTGACTGGAAACGCAACAAGGGATAATAAGAAGACAAGGATAGTGCAGAGGCATATTCAGTTGGCGATGAGAAACGATGAAGAACTAAGCAAGTTGCTGGGTGTCGTTACGATCGCAAATGGTGGTGTGATGCCCAACATTCATAACCTCTTGCTGCCGAAGAAGACTGGAACCGGTTCTTCGAAAGGTGTTGTTGCTGATTGGAGGTGTGTATAACACACTCCATTTAGTTGGGACCTTTTCTTAAATGAGAGACTGCTTTTTTATCCAAGGAGGTCTGTATAACACACTCAAACCACAAGTTGTCAAAAAGCCAAATTTTACCACCATGACACACAAAAACAGTTGGTCCCATCTGAGGAGGACAAACTTGATAAATAGCAAATAACCAATGTCATTTGATGTTGCAGATCTTGTAGCAATTTGAAGGTTCAAGCATAAAACTGAGGAAGACACCAAGTAATGCAAACTCCAAGACACCAAATTTGCTCACCTTTTAATCGAGAAGCAACACTGCCAGGCTTATCATCTCAATTTCTGTTTGGAATTGGACTTCACCACCAACTGTATTGTAGTCTTTCAATCTTTTGACTGCCACAAGAGTCCCATCTTGCAAGCAACCCTTGTAAACAATTCCAGAGCCACCCCTTCCGAGAATGTTCTTTGAGTTAAAATGGTCAGTTGCTGATCGGAGTTCCTTAAACGAGTACCTCTTCAAGTGGCCCAAACAAACCTCTGGATCATATTGGTCTGCCATGAAACATGTTAGCTGAGAAATGCAGGCATAATGTGCATAGATATGCACAGAGAAAAGCAAGTTCTTAAGATAAATAAAGTCTTATCAGCATGGTTAAGGAGTTGGTCATTCAAAAAATAAATAATTAAATCTTATATGAGAAGACATCAAATACTAAGCCATGCACATTTTTTGTATCAAGTAGCCATCAAATAGGTACAGGACAAGATCTCCTGGATCAAAACTAGCATCCTATCCATCACACTCATTTAACAGACCTAAGAAACCACAACAAAGGTTTTGAAATTACCCCAAGATATGTTGCTTTCTGGCCTACAAGATGTTTATGTGAAATCTACAATTTTATATATCAATAAAAAAAAATCTTCAAATTTATATCCCTGTGTCGGTACACACATCAAGGATCAGCTTCCTTAATGGACTCCACACCACTTTCTTAATGACTTTATCTTTTAATTGGTCAACCACCTAATGGTGCAAATATAGCTAAAATGCAAAACAATCAAAGATCCCCAATTTCCAAATTTATGGTCCAAACTATAGTTTAAAAAACTCACCCAATGATTAAAACAAGGGTTCATAGATCAGTCAAAGCATGTCCAGGGATATGACCCTATCAGCAATGTACTCACCAACTGAAATACTAGAATCTACTAAGAAATATTAACTAGCTTCAATACCTTCTAACTATCGTATCTACATGCACTGATACAAGAAATCATCCTGGAAATAGTATCTTGAATGGGAAGAGGTACTAACCATTAACATCAAAGAAAATCTGCTGGTTGTGTCCGTGCTGCCACCAGAGAAGAAACCCAACAGCAATGATGATAAGAGAAACTGACCCGGTGCTTCCCCAAATGCAATAGCCACATGGTGGCATTTTGCTCCTCCAGATTCTGATTGAGCTGGGAAACCCAACATGCCTATAGCTTAGATATTCATCCTATTCAAGTGATCAAAGTAATCTTTAAAACTAGTTGATTAGGTACATATATACCTCTTAGAGCATCTGGTGGAAATGAAAGTGGCTCTGGTGACACAGCAGAACAGTTGTTTTCAGTGTTTGGTCCACAAATTAAAGGGTTCCCAATAATTCTAAAGAAGGATATAAATAGATAACGTTAAAAATCAAACATAACCAAAAATGGAAAAATCAAGAGAATGAGAAAAAGAAAATCATACTTGAAAGTTCTGGCGGATACTTTTGGCAAGGAACCACTTAAATTGTTATAGGAAAGGTCCCAACAGTCAGAGTTCACTTAAACCAGTGAATTTACAGGTTTATGAATCAATATAAAAACTATTTATTGTTAACTTAGAGAAAACAAGAACAAATGAGGATATAGACATACACAAGGGTGAGACCTTCCACATTGGACAGAGACTCAGGGCAGGATCCAAAAAGACTGTTATTATTTAACCGCCTGACTTGTTTAAAAGGCCAGAAAACACAAGTGATCATTAGCTTGTCTCTAAGAAAAAAAATTAGCATGAAGGAAAAAAACAGATGCTATCTTCATCACTTTTTTTTTTGCTGGATCTATAGCGACAATTCTCATGTTTTCATTTGGATTTATATGAAAAGGTGCTATCTTCATCACTTTTTTAGTTGTCAGGAGGGAATTTGAACTCAAACAATTGATGTGGGTCTCATTTTTTTCAGACAAAGTCTATTCTTTAATTATAAATCAAACTTTAATATAATATCCTAAATCAGATAAAAAATGGAGTCTAGAAATTTCAATACTTGTCACATGGATAGTGGATAGTGGGTCCCCAAATAAAATAGGTATATATAGTTCCGTAAATGATTTGAAAATTTTAAAATCTAATTTATGATAAAAGATCAAGGAAGTGATTTGGGGAACTCTGTCTGCTGCAAGCAAGATGTGTAAAACAGATCATGAAACCCTTTTAAAAGTCCCTACTGTTTTCAACAATTAGTGGGTGTTAAAATTGCCATGTCAGCAAAAAGAACATGTTCTCAAATTGTGTTTTTGTTTTAAGAAGCAAAAATAAGTTGGTTTTGTAAAAAACAATTCATGTTTTTAAAACCATCAAAATGATGATTTTTAAAACAAAATCAAATGTTAGACTTAGAGTACAGATGGTATGTAATTTATGAAAGTTGGTGAGATATATTGTATGATTTAAAACAAAAACATGCTATTAGAACCAGAAATTTCAGAACCCGTTTGTGGTTTCAGTAATAAAAGAACATGTTTACAACCAAAAACATGTTTTTCCATGTTTTGTTTTAAGAAACTCACAACAAGAAAAACATGTTTTAACAAACATTTTTTTTTCAAACTAGATAGTTTTAATTTGAACCACACAACAAGAAAAGAAGTTACATTGAAGAACACCCTTTAACATGATTACTTCTGAATAGGTTTCTAGTCCCTGCAGCTACATGTTTGAAAGAAAAAGACACCCATACATATTATGAGAATTTCTTAGTTACAAAAAGTATATATTATGATTGCTATTATTTACAATGGTTTTTTGGTTTTTCACAAGGAATATGCATTTAAAATGTGATGTGCCCAAATAAGTCTCAAGGGTTCTTGAATTTTATACAGCAATAAAAAAACGGAAATTTAGAGTTCAGTCCACCTCAAGGATTTTTATTAGATCTCATGAGTTTTATTTACCAACAACTCTGCTATTTGCTAAATATATTATTCTGAAATTTTGGTTCATTATTCATTGACAATGATCTAATAGTATAAATGGTTTTCACCGACTCCAACTGTTAGGTAGCAAAGATGAGATGGGTGTAATTTCTACGTAACAATGATAAACCAGGACAACAATTAACCAGTTTGATAGGATATCAGAATGTCGGCATCAAGCACCATTTCACATTAACCAACACCTCCAAAGATTATTTTCTACCTCTGAAATTTCAAATTTGAACAAAAATGCAGAATTGGCAGCCTTAAGATTGCTATACTTTCCAATTTTGCATATGCTGGACATCTACACAAATAGCTAAATCCCAAATCTGAAAAAATTAAATGATTACATCCCTGGGTGCCTTTGAAAATATATGAGATTTTATACTTAGAGTTGAAGAGTAAGTTGGGGGAATTACCTAATCCTACTTGGTGCATAAAACCTCTTATGACTGATTGCAAGTAGACCTGTTCATGGGCTGGGATCGGGTTTAGGTTTTGCCCAAATTTGAATAAACCTGAATCAGTGTAAAGCCAAGCACAATGGACTGCCCATGAACAGGTCTAATTGCAAGGCTCATAACTAAGTTCTCCAAACCAAACAATTGACAGCTAACCTGTAACAAAGTTTTAATGCTCACCAGTCAATCTCCAAATAAACCAAACAGGTCTAATAGATCCATCACATGGTTCTTTTCTACCATTAATTAAAATCGTGCAAAATATAAGAGAAAAAATAAAGGGATTTTTAGACTACAATCCCCCTCAGAAATCTAATTTGCAGATCCCTCCTAGTCTACTAATAGCCCCCCCTTTAAACTACATCCTGCCCGTAAATTTGGCATCAATCTACGGGCAGGATTCAGTCCACCCCTAGTCTACTAGTAGCTCCACCTTAGGGGTGGACTGAACGGTAAAATCCCCAAAAATAAATAACTTTTTTATTTTTAGTTGTATCCAATTTATTGGAAAAAACCGGTAATTCTACTTGTAAGGAAAAAACATCATTTTTCATATTCATGCATTTCAAACCTTCATACATGTAAATCTGTTAAACCTTCATACATGTAAATCTGTTAAACCTTCATACATGCATAACATTTCCCTACCTCTCCCTTCAAACCAACACAACCTTGTATAGGTTGTTTTCTCTATCTTTCCCTACCTTTTCCTTCAAACCAAAGACAACCTAAAAGGATAATGAAAGATCCTAGGTCACTTTGCAGTTGTGGACCTCTGCACCAAGCTTAGGCCAAACATGGGTTTTTAATTGTATTGGTGAGTATCAATTTGTGTGGATTAGTACTCATTGACACCATCAGCTGAAACAATTTGATACCTAACAAGTAACAATACGAGCCATGAAATAGCATTGAGACAGAGTGATTCCACCACACATGCAAGCATTATGTAAAACCGATACGGTTTAGAAGCAAATTACTTTGACAAGTTAAAAGAGCTTCTCAAGAGTAAGGCTGCCTTGGGTTGCAGTGCAAATCTGAACCAGATGCAAATATTGCATCCAGTTCAGTTTTGTATGTCTGTTTGTTTATAATAACCATGATTTACATCCCTATCTGATACTTTTGTTTATACTTTTGTTTCAATTGCACTCATTAAGGGTGTAAAATTTGCATCTCAAAAACCGATGCAAAATTTGTACTATCTTCTTCATACCTTAATTCTCTCATATAAGTAGGGACAACATATATTGCTTCCTACCTCACTCCCAAGGAAACAATCCTCCTACTTCCATTCTATTGGATGAAACCACACCATTTTACTTTCTATTTTACTTTTTACAGATAAACAAGACAAAGGTTAAACCTGAAGCAAAATCAAACCAGAATTTACACTCAGCCCATTTGCACTCATGCATTTAAACTAGTGAAATTTGCACCGAAGAAAATTGCATATAAGAAAACATATAAATTTTGTGCAACTAATGTATATTTAACCATATATGAAGCTCCTATATCAAAGAACCCATTCACCAATCATCAGCATGAAAGCAAAACTAGAGAGAAATTTCAGATGGGAAAAGAATTATATTGTTTGAGGGCTCATAATTTAACAATGGATATGGAATTAAATATGGAACGGCAAAACAGGACTTATGTAACTGACCCATATAGTTGGGACAAGGCTTAAATAATGATGATGAATATTGAATAATGGAGGAAAATAATTATTCATAGAAGAGAGGCCAGCACTCACAAAACAAGTTGGAATTACAGATGATATCTCTTTATAACAATAAAGTGAAAATACCAAACGTCATTTGGATAAGCATTAAGAAACAATAAGCAAACATATAAAACTGAGCCATCTATGACAAAGAGAAGGCTCTTACACTATTTCTTGCCCTCCAAAATTTTTTGAGCTAGTCACTAATCTTGTGTGAAAGCATGTAAGGGCAAATCTTAATGGATAAATTTTAGAAGTAAAAACTGTGGAAATATTATCAAATGATCAGAATGTAAGTAAAGTTCATTGTCGATGAACTTCAAGGCCCAATATACCACACACACAAAAACTAAGAGGTAAAACACCCATCTTTAACAGTCCAAATTCAATTAAAAAGACTTTATGTTTTCATTTACTTTTAAAATCCACCAACAAAACACAAATTCAAAAAAATAAATATCACAAAAAAAATGAAAAATAAACTAAATTAATAGACACAATGCTAGAGCCATTCTCTTCAATGTTATATTAACTGGAATATGAATATCAGAAAATTCAAGAATTTACCATTCAAATCATAAAAGGGAATTGTAATAAAAAATAAAGGAAAAAGAAAAGAATGAAATTCAGGAAATAGGTTTTACCCTTCATCAGTGAATCCATCCTGTAAGGACCAAACCCAAATGCAAAGAATAATATCCTTAATATATGATGAGTCCACTTGCAAGAAATCTGCATTATTTGCATCATTCAACATTGGGTATGGTGAAAACAAAGATGGAAGCAAATTTAAAGAAAATAGAAATAAAAGAAAAGGATAAGAGTAATAGAAGTCCTAAACAGTTTCAAGTAGTAACTTGGTCAAGTGAGAGAGTAGATACTTGTCGATGTATCTCTGGAACTACAACAAATTTAAAGAACAGCGAGATGTTCGTCCGAGAGAGAAGAGAGAGGAGGAAGAGAGAGAGCCAGGTTTGCTTCAAGCGAGAGAGTCGTCTGCCAGTGAGTTTTCCTGTTTTTTTATTTTTTTAAAGAAAATCATGAAGTAGATACTTCTCGATGTATCTATGGAACTGCAACCAAAATAAGAGGACATTAAGTGCAAATGATGTGGATGATGAGCTACACAGCAATTTCTGAAAACAAAACAAAGGAAATTGAAGTCAAAAGCCAGCCAACTTCATTGCAAGTAATTGCCTTAACTAGTTCTAGTAATATGATAAAAAGCAGATGACAGTATGTCTTGCCGCCAACAGCTCATCACTCTTACGCATCAGCAAACCCAAGCTCAGAGAGTTTCAGATGAGACTCTGTATAATCAGCGAAGAAAGCATCCTCATCCGCAGCATATTTCTCTACAAAAGAACGGAAGGCAGGATCACTCAGAAGGGCCTTGTCCGATGGCAGCTGGATAAGTCCTTCCTTCTCACCACTGAGGAGCTCCTTGAAGTAGGTGTTATCAAAGATAAGAGGGTTAGAAGCCCAAGCTCCTACAAACCCAGAATGCTCCTTGTGGCACCTTCCCAGGGTGTGGCCGCCAGAGAGAGCAACAATATCCTTGTCACTGAGTCCCATTTGTACAGTAAAAACTTGCCTCAGATGGTCCGAACCCTTAGTGGCATCAGGCAGACGTCCTTCTGGTGGTGGCTCAGGCTTGTCCTCTCTTCCAGGGTGGAATGGAATTTCAGGCCCTCCGGTAATTTCAACAGCAACAACACCGGCCAACTGGTAGAAGTCAGCATACGACAAGGTTGGGAACTGTTCCTTGATGGGCTCCAAGAGACGAACTATGATATCAAGATCGTTTTTGGCCGCATGACCAAGCTCCGCTGAGTGCTTCATGGTTCCGAATGGACCTCCTGTCTTAGACTTACATCGAAGGTTCCGGCCGAGTCTTGCATTTTCTCGACTGCCTTCTGGTATTCCTCACTCACGGTTGGGTAGCACTTTCCCGTGGCTACAATTCCTTCTCACGCAACAGAAATGGAAGACCAAAACCCTCTAAGAACGGATTGAGAATGGCACGAGCAGACCACCAGAGAGTTTTCTTGTTATGCGCGCAATAGCGTTTGAGCGGCAAAACCTAAATTAGCGATTAATTTTGAATCCGCCAAAAATTGAAAGGGCAAAAGAGGCATTAAAATTTGCCTCTAAAAGTAACTCCATTGGTCTGCCTCTAAAGACGGGAATTTTAGTAGTGTCTCTATCAGGTGCTGCACCTATATACATAAACTTAATGAGTTTAAAAGAAAAATATAATTAGATAGATACATATGAAGAAGCATAAAGGATCACAGAGGAAACGGATAGAGGGAGATGATTAATTTACCATGTGAATATAGGAAGCAGCAGAGTCCCCCATAATCCTTAATAAGGATCTTCTTTGTTTTCTTAACAGAATTCCAAAATGAAAGAAGGAGAAGAAAGCTGTAAAGTAGAGAAAAGAAAGTAAGATCCAAAGAGAGAGAGAGAGAGAGATGCAGAAGAAAACAGAGAATTCAGACTATAGTATCGTGATCAATCGACGGAATTAACAGCTTATTAGTTATTTTATATATATATATATAAACAAATTATGAAAGGTTTAAATAAAAAAAGGGAAAAGAACAAAGGAGACGTGGTACCGGGAGTGCCACGTGGGAGATGATTGATAATTGGGACCAGATTCGAACTCATGGGCTGGACTCCCCACCCCCCTAGGGTTAGGGTTGGATCCAGGAGGACCCATGATTGTTTAAAGTTTAAACACACTTTGCTGTGCGTTGGTTGGTTGGTTGGTTTGCGCCCAATTGTTGTTACACACTTGGACCCAGGTGAAACAGGATTCAGTCAGTACATTCGAACAATCATCATAACCTTGCATTGGCCCATAAAATAAACATAAACATACGGAGATATTTCCGATGCAAGGCTATGAAAGCTGTTCCTTGTGTGCCGTGTCCTCAGTGATGCCATTCCCATTTCAACCTCCAATCTTCTTGAATTGGTGGTAGTCCCCTTAAATTAAAGAGCTTGTCACTCACGCGACGCGAGTGCCACTCATGTCTGAAGAAGAACGCCGATGCGCACTTGAGCCCGTCCGTGGTCCGTCCCTCCAGGCTCCAGCTACCGGGTTCGTAGCTCCGTACAGTCACGTGAAGGTGAATCCGGATATGCTTTTCAGTTTTAACAAATCACAACCTCCATTTTAGAAACATTTCCTTTCATAATCATACGGAGATGTTTTTCATTGACGTGAGCAGTGTCGTTCTATTAGTAGCTAGCGAAAGGCGAAAGCTGGTGCGGTGCCGAGTGATCGCCTGGTTACTGCATCTGCCGGACTGTCACGGGGTAATCGTTGGGGCCCCGTGCGGCACTCGAAATGGGCGARTAAGCCTACGAAACARABCAAACACACACACAAAGGCAACAAGAAGGCACACGAATTAGCAAAAGGCTACTTGTATTGCATTAATCAGTGGTAAGCACAAGCACACAGTACAGTGTCGAGGGGATCTCGTGCTTAACCTTTACACGCTTATGAGCTCACTTGCGGACATATGATATTCATATGGAGGCACCAGTCAAATCCACCCACGTAGGTAGGTGCAGGATGAGGTTAGTGGAACTCACGTACAACAACGAAAAAGTAAAAACAAATTAATAAAAAAACCTGAAAACAAATAAACAAACATATAGCCATTTATAGGCCGAGCGCCTACGACTAGGAGTATCAAATTTGGATCTGGTCCCAACCGTCCTGTCACAAGTGACTCCTTCGCCGCGCCATCAAGCACCTACAGTGAGCCATCCGAGTGCCAACCGCGTGCCTTCATGGTGTCAATATGTGTGTCATGGGTGGGCTTTACGTGTATTTTGTAAGGGGGACTGCCAATGGCGTTATTGTAATTACTTAGTATGCTTTTCCATCATTTTGATGTTTCCTATTGTCACTCCCCCAAAAGCTTAACGTACTCTTTGAGGGGAGGTTGGGCATGGTAGAACAGTACACAGTACTGTTATAAAAGTTCTCATTTCTTGATCAAAAAGCTGGTCAATACTGTAAAAGCTTCTTCATCATCAAAGCTCATTTTTGATCGACAAGCTTCTCATTTCTTCATCATTGGGTGTCTATACAATTTTTTGCTTTCAGAGGACCGGATCCCACTCCAGCTATACAGTCTAATAGGAAATTTGTTTTCATTCCCAATCACTGATACCAGTTTGATCTTTTGGCTTTTCTAATTTCTTAATCGACAAGCTATATAGTTAGCAGTGTAAGAGATCCTAAGTTTCATCAGGGTGTGTAAATAAATTTAATATATAGTTTTATATACACCCCATGGGAAACAAAGGCATCCATCCATTGGGAAATATTTTTCTATAAATTTAATATACAAGTATAAAAAATATCTTTAATACATAGCTATCAGCTAGCTAGATGCCGTGTTCTCACGGTGTGCATACGATTTTTTATTTGATAAGATCGGGACTCGACTAAAAAAAAAGTCTATACGTGGTCATCCTGTCATTTTGATCAATAGCATTACATTGAGGTAAGGTGATGGAAGTTGTCATGTGTACTCCTCACACGGGAGCGCCTCACATGCACATCCATCGTGCATTGGGAATATCTCCCATGAATAATAACTTATAAATGCATTGGGAATATCTGTGAGGCACGAGATCGGAAAAAAAGTCATCATAAAAAAAGAAATTAAGATATCAATTTTCTTTTTTGTTTTGCCAAAAAAAAGCTTGTCTCTTCAAATAAAGATAGGTTCAATTGTCAACAAGACAATTAGGTTTATATAACTTGCCCTCCAGAAAAAAAAAATGCTATGGATATTCCACGGTGGTACATCCTCATTCGAGTGCAGTTCTGCTTGGCCCAAATTAGCATTTTACACTGTTTCAAGTTTAGGCTGGGCCCATTCAAATTTTGATATTCAGCTTGAATATTTCATGAAAATCCTTGTTTGATCAGTTGATCTTCTCTTTCATTTTCTTGATTCCCCCGTTTACATTTGAAGGACAGGGCAACATTTTTGTCATGTTGCATAGTAGCTAGTCAACAATATAGTATATGTTTGGTTTTGTGGGTGTTTATTGCTTTAAACATTTATTTTAACAATTTTACTTTAAATGTTTTTTACTTTAAATATTTCTTGTTTTTATTGTTTGGTTGAGAATAACTTTAAACATTTTTTTACTTTACATCTCAGATAGACTTATTCATGGGTCGGGCTTGGGCTTGGCTTTTGCCAAAATTTCAATGGGGCAGGCCCAAAGCCCGAGCCCAACACAGTGTAAAGTCAGGCCCAAAGCCTAGCCCATGATCAGGTCTAATCTCATATTAGTATACCATAAAGTATGCCACGTAAGAATTTCATTTCTATAAATGCTTGGACGTTGGGGGAAACAAGAATTTAGCGTTTCCCCAAATGCCTTGTGCACATAAATCTAGGTGTTTGTGCTTTTTAGTGTTTATTTGGTAAATAGTGAAATCAAACGGTGGTTTTATGCTCAATAAACACAAATGCCCATGTGGTGGCAGCATTTTTTCAATAAACACCAACGGAACCAAGTGCCCCCATAATCTAGCTTGGCTATCACACTGAGACATTATTAAAGCTGGAACTAATTCCTCTTTCATATTTATATGTGAATCTTTAAATTTGAAGTACGATGTTTTGTTTGTCTTGTTTTATATTAATCCACTAACAATCTAATATTGCTGATTGTACCTTGGCAAGCTGTATTCTAATCATGTATTAATGAAATTTATCTTTTAGGCTCATTTTGAAAGGAGTACAAATACAAATATATAGAGTGTAATTGTATTTACATTGCACATATTTATATTTGTGCTCTTTCCAAACTGAGCTTTAAGGCTTCAACAAATAGCAACAATAACAATCTGATCTGGCTTGCCTATCCATACTTAGGTGGTGTTTGATAAATCTAAAATTTGAAAAGTTAAAAAGATATTAAAAGTGTCTGAAATCTAAAAATAGACATAGTTGCTTTTCGACTTTTTAGAGGCTCTGAATAAAGAAGGTTATTTGTGTTGGATCAAACCTTCAACATCTAAAATTCATTGATTTTACTATTTTACCCCTAAAACAAATTATTTGGTAATTTTGAGTTCAATTTGCATTATTTCATAAAAATAATTTATTAAATTAAAAATAATATTGAAAAAGCGTAAGTAAATTATAAAGAATAAAAAAATAATTTATTAAAATAAGAATAAAATTAAAAAACACATATAACATTATAATGTAAAAATAAATTATTAAGAGTTAAAATAATAGTGAAAATAGTAACAAAGACCATGAGACAATGAGAAAAATATTTAATAATTATCAAATTAATATCTTAAGACTATTAAAATATTTAATACAATTGGAAAAAACCGTCGCTACTGTTGAGAGTTGCAACGACGGTGGCTGGAAGATAGGGAAAGAGAGAGAGGGAGATAGGAATCGAAGACACGCCGCTATTGAGAGTTGTAGTGGTGGTGGTGGAGAGAGAGAGATCATATGGGGCTTTTATCAAGTTAAAATAGGGGTATTTTTTACTTTAGGCCACGTCTAAAGCACATTTGAACGCGTTAAGTGAAGGGCCTGTCTCTTACAATTTCAGATTTGAAAAAACTTTTTAGGTCATATTTCAAATACAATACCAAATGAACCTAACATCTAAAAAGTAGATATTTCAAATGTCAGACCTCTGAAAAGAGTTATCAAACACCACCTTAGATGCTAATAAAGCTAGAACTATTTTTTTTTTACTATTGTAGTTTTCACATCAATGTATGTATAGTCCTTATTTAGTTTGCTTCTAACCAAAAAGATGAATGCATGCGGTAGAAAATGATTATTTTTATTTTCACCAATTTATTTATGTAACTTAGCAAATGAAAATGTTAACGTGAATACGATAAAGGGGTGTTACCATATATTGTTATTATTCAGAATTTCAAATTTCAGCTTATTATTATAAGAGTACCTTTCTAGAGAAACCAACCAGTTGTATTTAATTCGGGTTTAAATGACATGAATCAACTCAGTTGTATTTAATTACACCAGAGTTTCCCAAAAAGTGAAAAATACCATGCTACATAAAATACTCGCATCTCACCATTCTCAACTACTTAACTAGGGGCCTAGAAATGTTCTTATTTTGAATTTCAATAGTTAGATGTTCAAAGGACCAATAGATCATCCAACCTATTTTATAATAAATAACGCATTATAAAAAGATGTTTTGAAAAATTAAAAACTTAGGTAGTATTGATATTGTGTTTATATTGTGGATGGGACTGTTCTAGTCCAATTCATGACAATAACTCATGAATAGGGATCATCTGATCAATTTTTCGTCAATGCTTATTTTTTGTAAATGGCCCCCATTCACCGGTGGACAAAAAGGGGCAGGTGATACACATGCCTTGGTATTTTGTTGTTTTTTACCATTACACCCATGAAGCTATAATTTAATGATATATCTTTTAATTTTTTAGCTTCAATTCTATTATTTTTATTGAAGTTTTAAATATTCAATAATTTTTTATTGAATTATTTAAATTTTTAATATAACTATTTTTGTTATTTTTAATTATTTTTTGTTAAAATAATTTTTTATTAGTTAACATGAATTTATCGATTATATTTTAAAGTTGATTTGAATTATTGGGTATAATTACTTATTTATAATCGATTATGTATCTATTTCACAAAAAGTATCTAAGATGTATGAATTAAAAAAAATGTGTCTACAATTCAAAATAGTTGTGGATTGGCCCCTACCACTGGAGTGTAGTGTGGACCAATCCACACCTACCATTTTCTCATTCATGTTACAAAACACCCCTTAGCCATTTTGATCCAAAATAAAGACGTAACCGTTGGCAACCTGTTAGGAAAGACAAGACAATTTCCTACAATGCAACTTATGGCAATGCACTATAGAATGAGAATTAGATTACAAAATAGGGGTAACCAAATCACCAAAGCAACCGGGAATATTAATGGAATTTTTTATATTGATTATGGCTTATAATTCATAATAAATAATCAAATGGCATGCTTCCTTTTGATTATTTCTCACCTCTCTCTCTCTCTCTCATTACTTTGCCATGTGCTTCTAGATTCCAACACTTTTCCCTTACCAGTTACCATTGCTGATGTTGCGTGATCTGGTTGCTCCCTTGTGTTAGATGATCCGGATTACTCTTGGTTAGGGCCGAGTTGGAAGTGGCTGAGCTGATTATGTTTTGCGAGAGGAAGAGTTAGAGTGCCCAGGTTGTCTTTACCCGAGATGGGCACTCCGATGCTTAAGTCAGAGAGTGTTTTAAGAGTGTTTTAGAGAATGAGAGAGCTTGAGAGTATGTAAATCGTGCATACCTCTTAAGTAGAAATGAGTGTCTTATATAGGTATCGGTGATCTAAGTCCCCTTACAACGAGTCTTCTCTTCTCGCGGAGCCGTTTCCGCTTGATCTGGTGAGTTATTGCATCGGTTACATGTCCTGTGTGGGAGTTACGATCTGTCCGAGTAACTCTAGGGCATTCAGTGCGGTAGGTCAGTTGAATGGTCATGGTTTGATGCTCCGGAGATCTCAGGTCGGTAATGTCTCTTCGGGACAAGTTAGCGAACTTGCTCATAGGTCGCCATAGACTCTTGTAGCCCGGCCAGTTTTTGAGGCAAGTCACTGTGAGTTAAGAAACCTGCTAGTTTGGTCCAGCCAAGGTGAATGTCAGTCTGTACGAGGTGCTCGAGACTAACTTGCCGAGCTGGTTTGTCTAGTCAACGCCGAGGTATCACTTGAAGTCCATGTGTCGTTATTTGATTCAAAGGACCAAATTACCCCTCATCAATTGCCATTATAGTATATGGAATATTCAAATATGATTATTATGTGAGGCTTTATACATTTTCAAAACCCCAAACTAGCCTTATGTTATTTTAAGACCATTATGCCCTTTTTAGCTTATAAATTCTAAAACCTTGACTGTTACATGTTTCTCACCCCTGTGTGGAAATGCTGCTACATGAGCAGTTCGTCTTCAACGCCGTAAATGAATGGTTAATCTCCATATTTGGATTCACCCACAGCCACAGATAGTTTGGCACCTTCCTTAACAAGGGTTTCATACAGACCATTTGGGAAGAAAACCTAGCTATATATAACCTAAGTCCACAAAGATGGGGTTGTCGAAAAACAAAGTTCAAAGAGTGTCACAATCCAAAAAATGTCGATGTTTGCAACTGATAGTGGTTCAAATAAATTCAATTGGTGAATAAAGACATTCAAAGAACTGATATATAAACATCTTTGAAAGTTTGTCTCTTGAATCTTTCTTCTTTTTGTTTTTAATGTGTACGCGTGCATGGCACGTGTCCCTCTATTAATTGATATAATTATAATGTAAAGAGAAAAAAAAAAGGCAGTGAAAAGGCAAGATGATCAACAATCAAGAATTAATTAGAAAAATAAAAAACAATAATATATAAGAAGAAAATGTGGGCGAGGGAGATCTAGCCTCCTCCCCTACGAAAGTGAGATATATATAAAAGTACAGATTAATTACATAATTTATATGTGCATATATAACTGGAACCAACAAGCTAACCACAGTGTGGCTTCCTTCTAGTAGTACGCTGTCCTCCCTCCCTTTCAAAGCCAAGAACAAGAATATATCCATGTTTTTGAATATTAATATTAATTAGTCCCCAGTGGAGGACTGGGAGATCATCTTTTGGATCATCTGCTTTATCTCCATTTCGGCCATCTCGTCTTCCCTGCTCTTCATGTATGCGTCGAAGAACTCCTTGTTCTCTTTCTCCAATTCCTTCCAAACTGCAAATTAATTATTACATCAATTTAATATGTAAAGTTAAAAGCCTGTGCCATACATGAAACATGAAGGAGAGAGAGAGAGAACTGATCACCTGTGGAAGTGATTACAGGGTTGATATTTGCATGCCTAGAAAGGGCCTCCATGCACTCTTCTTTCGTCATGTGGAAGAGGAGACACTTCTCTATCAGGTGCTGCACCTATATACGTATACCCCCCCCCCATAAAAAAAAGCAATAACCAACTAACAATTCATCATCCATAAATAAACGCAAAGAGAATTTAAAAGAGAATATAAACAGAAAGAACAATCAAGAGAGAGTTGATTAATTTACCATGCGAATATATGAAGCAGAAGACTCCCCCATAATCCTTATTATAAATCTTCTGTGTTTTGCTTATCAGACTTCCAAAACGAAAGAAAGGAGAAAGAAAGAAGTACTTACTACAGTAGAGAAAAGAAATAAAGGAAGCTAAGGAACACCCCAATTGGAGGGAGAGAGAGAGAGAGAGAGAGTGGTAGAAGAAAATAGAGAATAGTGTTGCGATCAATCAGCTTACATGTAAGCAAATATATATAGAGTGAGAGAGGCAAACTATGAAACTTTTAAATAAAAAGAATAAGGGAGAGGTGGGACCAGGAGTCCCACGTGGGAGATAACTGATAATTGGTGGAGAGGTGATTAGGAAGATTTATGGGCGGTAATTCCTTGTCTCTATAGGCGACCACATAGCAGTTGGCGCCACCTTCACGTGACCGTGCGGGTCCACAAACCCGACGGGTCAGCGAGACGGATCCTCGTGCGTCCCTTCAGACGCGACTCCCACTCACGCCACAAGCTCTTTGACTACCAACATTAGTAGCTGGAATCGCATCAGGATCAGACGGCTCACAGCGGTCGGTAAAAACGGTCCATATGATTGGCGCATCATGATCCGTCACTGGTCACTGGTCACTCTCTCTCTAAAAGTGTAAACGGTAAACTTATACCCATCCCCATCACCTTTGCATTTGGGTGTTACGTTTGGGCGCGTCTATATATGTTTGTTGTTTTTCAGGTTTCATTTGTTTTGTTTTGTTTTTGTTATGGACAATATTTACAGAGAATGCGACACAAAATTCATTTTCCTTCCCGACTTCAAATTGACTGATAAAATGTCTTTTGGGTTTTTTCATTTCCAACAAACAGTGTATTAGTGAGGTGATGGATTGAGAAGCTCATAATTGGATCAATTACAAGTTGCCACGTGTAACCAACCATTGCCTGATAGGATAGGATGGGAGAATGCATGCCATCTTCAAAAAGGAATATAAAATGATTAAGGGCCTGTTTGGTCCACAGGAACAAGGGTCTAGAATTGGAACTGGAATGGCCTATTCCGATTCCAGTTATTTGGTTGGACAGAATCGGAATCTCATCTCTGTTCCTGCTCGAATGACATTCCTCCATTTGAAAGAATGGTCATTCCCTGCCCCTTCCTTGGGAATGAAATCTCATTCTTATTGATTCCATTCTTATTCTCATTCCTATCTGAACCAAACAAGCTATGGAAATAAACCATTCTGATTCTGATTTTGATTACAAACCAAATGGACCCTAAGATGTCAATTTTCTTGTTACTACCTAAAAAACGTCTCTTGAAATTAAAATAGGATGAACTGTGAAAAAGACGGTTGGGTTTTTTTATCCTTGCCTACCAGAAAAATATATTCCTTTCCCCTCTTTATTTTTCTTCTTTATTTTTTCCGTTGGATAATGGCTGAAATTGCATAACTGAAAGATTTGTCACTTTGTCTTTTAATTGTTTGATGATATCATATAATGCAGCCATTTACAGGAAACTTAGCGGCAGCACCCCATTAGGGGTTTCTAACTTTATTGATTTTCTAGCTATATCAATAGAGAGGTGGCTTAGTTGGTATTAGAGATGTGAACGGTCTGATAGTTCAAATCGAACAAACGGCCCATCCTGACAAAAAATAAAAAAATAAAAAAATTAAAACCAACCAAACAGTTCGACCGCCTGGATCAGCAATTTGCTGACCAAATCAACAATTTTGGGGGAAATAACGGTTCTGAGGTAAAATAGAACCAGTCACCTGATCGATTCCTGGTCCGTCTGACCTTACGGTCTGGTCCGATTTTGAAAACCATGCCCAAAACCACTAACATTGGGAAGGGGGCTTATTAAAGTGGTGCTGCACTATTCAAACGGCTCCTATGGGTTATTCTGACATATTACCAAAATGCCAAAAAAAAAATCTTGGTTAAACCCCTACTTGCTCAGCGCATTGTACTAATGATGCATTATATATTTAGCATTCTCAAGCACATGAAATTCTATGAACATGAAATTCTATGAGCACTGACATGTGGTGCTAACACGCAGCTATTTTAAGAGTATTGGCACCCAATCACAGTTGGAGACTTTGGGACTTTTCAACATTATTATATCCTGCTTGCGTAGAACCATGCATTATAGTTGGGTTATATTTTTTTAGCCTTCTGATTTCTTTCAAATGTAATATTTTGTCTTTCCACTATTTAAAGCAGTCGCATCAAACTACTAGCTGCAATCATTTCATCAGATTGAGTTTTATTTCCCAAATGATCTCCCAACTATGATCTCCATAAATTTATTAATCCAGGTTCAACACTTACACTATGAAGTGGTTTTTGTCCAAGGTTCGAACTATTGATACTGTAAAGAGTATTAGAAGGCAATTTTAAAAAATGTATCTGGATAGATGTGTACAAAAAATGCAAATATACAATAAAATATTAAAATGAGAATCAAAACACTAGGAAAATTCAAATAATTATTATTATTTTTTTTTGGTTTTTCTGGTCGAGAAAAGATAATATTGTTGATGAAGATGCTTAAAAATAAAGCCTTAAGGCAGATAGATAGCTCATAAGTTAACTCAGCGAACGGCCCTATCCAATGAGAGAAATGGGTCCGAGGCATGCAAACAAGTCGACGGTGTTTCAGCAGACGGACTAAGGGTCTGGAATCGGAATTCAATAACAAACCCACCCATCCAATTTAGCCGTATAAGTACCAATTCTCCTTAAGCAAATATCTTAGTTAATGCTATTATTTATTTCTAACATTTTATGCCCTCTGCTATGCAAACTCTGAATTCCATCCTTTTAATACACCTTTTACAATATATAACCATGATTTAACATATAAATTTTCAAAAAAAAAAAGAAGCTTATGAAGTCCACATATATGCTGTCTTGACCAAAATGCACATCACTACCATCAGCCATAAACTGTAAAGCTCGCAGCTCTGCCAGAGACCTGAAATTTTTAAATCCAATTCATGGACTGGTGACCAGAGAAGTAGCAAGGCAGACTTTAGGTAGTGGGATCCACACATATACCCACCATCCATGCACAAGCCCGTTCCACATCCATACCTTTTGTCAAGGCAATAAGGTGCCCATGGAAGGTTGCCTCACATAATCAACAAGGTAATTTGTAAATGGTGTTATTATATACTTTTCTATTCTTAATTTTTGAGATTACAATAACAACAATAATAATAAAACAGATTATTAAACTAAATTATTCAGTTTGTGAGTTAAAATACCATTTTCTTTTTATCATTTTCTTATTGTTAGAGTTCAATCAACATGTATGCTATATCTTTAACCCTCGATTTCAAAACCTGAACTGATAAGCAAGAAAGAACTCAAAATTTTGTTTATTTCTTCTTCCATCCTTTCTTTTCTACTTTTCCTATGACAAATAGGGGCTCAGCCCCTCTGTTTTCTGAAATTTCTTTTCTTTCTTCCATTTTTTTCATGAATATTTTGATTTTCTATGTTTAAAATGAAGTTGATGCATTTTTCATGAAGATAATGGACAATTACTAGTGAAAGATAGTGTTTGCTATGGAACTAATTACCCTAAGATTCATGGTTTTCATTTTCTTTTTGTGGGGTGTGGGGGGCTAGGCACCCCCAGATGCGTAGCCTCACATTGGCACCTTGAAAACTATACCTTCCAATTAATGTAATCATCCTGATGAGCAAACAACTTCCAACATATGTAAGAGATTGGGCATGGATGAAATGAACATATGCACCTGGCTGCTGATAGATGTATACATAAATCATCACAATACGAGAAACATAGATAGATAGGACATACCATGACTGGGTGCTTGAGTATGGATATATTGTATGAATTGCTCCTACGATCATGGGAAAGCAGCAGCCGCACGTGTGGAATGCTCTTCCAACTCTCTCCGAGGGCAGGCTTTAAGATGCCTCCTTCACCACACACCATGTGATTTGTCACCTAAAATATTACATAAACATTGTTATTGCATAGTCCTAGAACTCTGATGGGCCCAAGACATCAGTCTAGCTAAGCCATCTAGATAGAACTGCAGCTAGAATTGATAAAGATAGTAACACTAGTAATTTTAGCATACATGACATCCTATTGCATATCTGATTATCACAGGGAACAAAATGTTATTCTAGAGCTAGAAAAAAATTATTCTTATAGCATGATTTTTTAAAACTAGAAATTTATTTAGAAGTGTTAACATTGTAAAGTGTATTGTAGAAATGTTCATGCAGTAACCAATAATGTACAGGGGGTACATGTCATCGGTTCCAAAAGTGGTATACTAGGTATTTACAGGTGTCCATGCATCATAGGATTTAGGAGTTCATATTCTCCTGATTAATAGTGAGAGGCAATTTGTGCTGCCATTTTGGGCCCAAATCAACTTACTGTATCAAAGAATCTTTGGTTGTTTAGCCTCCACCAAATGACCCAACTAACACATAGGGACAAATGCATTGGGATCTGCTGGTTACCTATTAGTGGGATCCATTGCTTGATCCCCAATAGGATCACACCTTTGAGTGTGTTTACACGGACTGTATTTTATTTACATGGCACTCGTTACTTACATGATTGAAGGTGTGTTCTTATTGGGGTAAATCAACTAATTCATGTCTGCTGATGAATTCTGAAAAGCCATTCATGCCAACAGCACTCCTTGCTCCCCCTTTCTTCTCTTCTGTGTACAAGCAAGTGTTAAAATCTTACCTCCCCCCCGCCTCCCCACACACATACTCATGCCAAGACTGCCATCTATTCCTTATGTCATATAAATTCACCCCAGAATAGTATCCTTCCTGCATCATCATTTGGCCCATAAATACTTGTCATTATACTCTTAAAGCTATCTTCCCAAATCCCAACAGTGTTTTTAAACCATCATTGACCCGGAAGGTTGAACCACTCAACCTGTCACTCAGAGGTCAAGACGATTTGGTTTTACCACTAACCCATTAAATTGTAAAAAAAAAAAAAAAACAATGACTTGGTCAACACCCATTCACCCAGACATTAACCTGCTGAACCATTTTCCAGTTGATGAATCAAACCACAATAACATAATATTAATCATTTTTAAATGCAGTCATTTTAGATAAAATAAAACAAATAAAACCTAAAACAAATAAGTGAAAAAGTGAGAGAAATCATGAAGATGAAAGGCCCTACATCTAACAGAGCGGCACCAGAATCCAGATCTGATCTTACCACTAATGAGTCTCCTCTTCCTCCATTGTTCTCAGCTTCCATTCTCACTTCCCCAATTGTATTGTAAGGGAGGCTGTCAGTGGGAAAAGAATATTTTAGTTAGAATGTAGAAATGTGGGGAGGTGAGAGAACAAAAACAGGGGCTGAGTGTGAAGGTTGCATAAGTTGGTTGGAAGCAAAGAGGGAGGAGTGAGATGTGTATATGTTAAAGAAACTAAGAGGGGGGCATTGTAAGAGGCAGGGGTGGAGAGAGAGCGAGAGAGAGAGAGAGAGAGAGAGAGAGAGAGAGTTTAGTGGTGGGAGAAAAGAAAAAAGAAAGAGGTTTAACGTCTGTGGAGAGGGAAAAAAATCTAGCACTGCAATGGGCATGAAGAAGACGACAGAAAACCAGTCTTCTTCCTTGTGCAAGTTTTTTTCTCCTTTCTCTACCGCCTCTCACCCCCTCCCCCCATAACATTATATACTGACATAAGAATGGATGTAACCTAAAATCCCAATTTAACGGTCAGAATGATGGTACAACCCAGATGGTTGAACCAGTGAACCATCACCCAGAAAGAAAAGCAAGTCCACTTCCGGGTTGGTTTTTAAAACATTGTTCCCCAAGTGGCTTCTAATGAAACTGAGTATCTTCCCACCAGCTGATCCGAAACCTGTAAAGATTCTGCATTTCAAATCACTAGATTACCACCTACTGTGCCTAGGGCCTCCAAGCAACTCCAACTGCAATGCCGCTCCCCCCCCCCACCCGAAATACTTGCTACAGCAACATCGACTTTGTCCAGTTTAGTCTCTTGGATCAACAAAACATCTGGCTTCATTTTTCCAATTCTCGCACTGATTACCACCCCTCTTCTACCAGAACAAAATCCAAACGTTCCAAGATACTATCTTCGATTCTTCATATCAGTTTCAACTTTTTACTCATCTCCCCTTCCTCCTACCCTTGCATCCTTCCTCTGCTCCTCCAACATTATTGTTTAAGCCCCATGTAAGTCTTAAAATCTCCTTGTATGTGCCCTTAGAGTTCTTCACTTTTGCATTAGCCCTTCCACGATCTTCGAAGGCTCGTTGCTCAATGGCGGTTAATAATTTCTTCATTTCTTCTTCTTAACCTTGAAAGGACATACCACTTGAAATTCTCCAAATTTAAGGTATTTGGACAACACCAAATCTAACATCATTTCTACTTCCCACCTGCTTGGGTACGGGTTTACCCCAGTTTGCAGCTTCTGTTGTTGTGTTTTTTCCCCCTCTTCTCCTTATTTTCCTTCCCAAACTTCCTAAATCCTGTTCCACTCAAGTTCCCTTCAACTCCATCTCCATCATGGGTCCTCCAATCATTTGGTCTTCAGGGAGTACCATCTGTAGTGGCGTTAAATCCTCCCCCTGAAGGTTTTTGTAAGTTTGAAGCTACAAGGGTTCCTTCCTCCTTCCTTTTGACCAAAGCCATTTCTTTATTTGGAAGTGTTGGCATTACATCATCTTCCACTAGCACCTTCCCTTTTCCCTCCATCACTACTGGCTATGGCCTCCATTGTCAACTTTCCATTCTCTTTGAACTTGATACCTCCTGAATTAGGGCTTTTCCCATCAAGTGGGTCAGATGGCCTGGCCTTTTTGGAATTTGGATTACTCCCCAATTTGGGTTTGGTCCTTGTTGTTGGATCAGAAGTTTTTCCTGGTTTGCTTCCTTGAGTAAACCTTCAACTTGGGTAGAGTTTGGCGATTAAAACCAGTAGCACGTAGCTTGGGATCATCCATTTCCAGGATACACTCTTCTATTAATTCTTTTAGTTCTTGTTTGGAGCTTCACCATGCATCCACTTCATTTAAATTTGAATTTTGAATTCTTGTCCAACCTACCTGATTTCTTTCTGCAACATCAGATATCGGACGATTGTCTTTTAATCTCTCCTGCTTCTTTAGTCTGATTTAATGACTACTACCAATTTTCCCTGTGGGCACGATTGTCACAACCACAGATTCTATTTGTCCATTGACCACTGCAAACGGATCTATGAAGATGAGCCGCAGGGATTAGCTCCAACCGAATGTGATAGTATACATTATATCCCTCACCACTATGCCAACTGTTTCCGGCACCAACCCTTTTCAACGAACTTGGATTCCCACCCATTCAAATGTGGCAATATCCGGTCCTGAGTCACCCATTTGAATGAAACCACTGCAGTAATCCCCAATTGCTTCTATTACACTTGGGCACCATAACAGCAGAGGAAGACCAAATATTTGTATCCAAATGCTGTCTTCCTTCTTCAGCTTGGTTGTGGCATCATTTGTGTAGAAACCTGCACTACCTCTCCACCAATCCAATGTTGAGAATCTTGAGATTGTGCAAGGGTATTCTTGTCTTTTTTGTTCCTTTGTATTTGGGCACCCATATGAGGGCTTACTTGTAATTCCTCTCAAAAATATAAATTCTCTCTTCTCTTCTTGTTTACTTTCTCAATAAAACCCTAGATATTAAAATTGCTATCAGAGCAACTAGAAGGTCTTGGGAGAGTCTTTCTATACTGGTTTTTGCTCGGGTGATGAGCTGTTGATGTCAGACCGCCATCAGATGATGTCAGCAGTCCATACAGGTGGCGGCAGCAATCTCTAAAAACTGTATAGTTTGATTCGCCCTGATTTTGGAATGAATTTTGGCATATTCCTCGTGTTTTGATGTCTCTGATTTATTGTGGATTTTTCGAGTAGAAAACCACAGAAATTCCAAATCTGGTTTAGAGGCTTGATTCTCTTGTTTGATGGGTTCTCATCCTACAAAACCTAGTTCTTTTAGGTTGTTTTATATTTTGGGAATGACAGGAAGTGGTCCCATATTTTTCTGAAATTTAAAAAAAAATGGGAGTTTTTCTTCTCCCTCTCTTTTACCGCCAGCCAGCTTTTTGGCCCCTTTCTAACCTTTAACCGAGTTTGACCCTTTCTTTTGGGTTTGCTTGTATTTCGGTTGGGTGTTGGGGTGCTCCTTGGTTGCTAAGATAGTTGTTTGTGAGGTATGACTTGAAAGAAGAAGAAGAAGAACTGTTTACTGTATTAGAGAAGTAATACAGGTTCAAAGAGAAGAAGAGAGAGAGAGAGAGAGAGAGAGAGAGAGAGAAAGAGAGAGAAGTGAAGAGAGGAGAAAAGAAAGAAGGGGTTCGGTGGTTAATGATCTGCCGCCCCCATACACTTCTTTAAATATAGCTTTAGGTTCCTTACAAGAATAGGAAATAAACAAAAATTAGAAACAACAAGGCCAGCTAGCTCACTTAAAGAAATTAGAAACTTCTAGTAAAAGAATTTAAAAACTACTAATAAAAGAAATTAGAAACAACTAGGTGTTGGTATGAAACCACACACACTAGAGCCTGGGTGTGGGTATGGAACCCCACACTCATGGCTAACCAACTATTTCTTCACTCCCCCTCAAGTTGGGAGTAGATATTTGTCATGCCCAACTTGCATAAATTTGTCTTCAATTTGCTTTTTGTGACTGCTTTGGTGAAGAGATCAGCTAACTGCATGTCTGAGGCAATGTAAGGAAGGCATACTTCTTGAGATGTGACTCGCTCTCGGATAAAATGCCTGCCAACCTCGATATGCTTAGTCCTGTCATGCTGTATTGGGTTGTGGGCAATATTAATTGCAGCTTGATTATCACAATACAACATCAAAGGCTTCTCATAATCAACCTCCAACTCATTAAGCAAGGATCTCAGCCATAACACTTC